CTTTCCCTCTTTCTCTCCCTTCTTTCTCCGTTTTTTTTTCTTCTCTACAACATCCTTAGCAAAAAAGAATATTCAGCAACAAAGGTAGTGTATCAAGTTTTATTTATTGTCACCAGATTTAGAATTTTTAGATAACCTGGTATTTACTGAAAAAAAGTAAAAATTATGATCCTTAACTACATTAATATGCAGTGTGTCCTACCATGTATCCCTGGCCCTGGTGGTGTTTTTCTGGCATACCGGCACTCTGCCACTTTATAAGGTAGACATAGTAGGTTTTTTGGCATTTCGGCCAAAAACATTGCCTACCCCTGTTTTAAAACATGTGGCTTAATGACTTTCATAATAAAGAAATTATGAAGGCGATGGTTCAAAACAGGTGGCTTGGAATAATAATTTGGGAAGTAATTTGTCTAAATAAAAAATGGGTACCTGTGCTAGCCTATTTAAAGCCATTTGGGGTACTTCTAACTACATTGAAGTCTATAGTGCACTATGTAATGCACTTATGATAAAGGGAAGGAAGCAACTTGAAAAGGACCATTTCTCCAATATGTCTATAGTTAGATTAAGACATTGTCTTACATTTATGCCAAAATAGTTACCATGCAAAATAATCAAAACCAAGTAACACAAACAAATTTGTTCACTGTTAAGGTTGAGACAAGTTGGATACTTAAACCTTTGCATGGAAAACACCATTTCTAAAGATAATGGACTGAGGTCTGCATTTCATTGTTTAATTTGAAAGAGATTAAGTTACACAATTTGGAAAAGCAAATAAACAATGATAAATATATACTCTCATTCCCCAAAGTAAAGAGCACAAATGCAGCCATTTTAACCCTAATCAAAACAAACTATAACAGAATATCATGAAGAGATTTATTTCTATTAATAGTTGAAGGCACATTCTACAATTTTATGCACACATTTAGGATCTCTCAGAGATGTTCTTGCTGGATTTGGAGATCTTGAATATTTATTTCAGTTTTCCTGCATCTGTCAGGATGTACAATTGTGTGCAAGATTACTTGTAGGTACTGTTGAATTTAGTAAAAGATCCATTGAATTGTCAGAGATGTTTTGGCATATGTTGAAAAACACGGAGCCAAGGGAGTGGTAGTCAAAATACCTCCTGTATATCAAATAAACTGAACATGGTCAAAGTTTAAGAAAGGCCAGAGAGCATTTCTGACCAAGTTTGAATGTAAATTAATATATAAAAGGAGAATCCCATAACATACATATTCTGTATACAACATTAAGAAAAATCATGACCCTTGAATGTACTTGACATATTAAATATTGAACAGAGAGGTGGTTAGCCATTTTAGACTGAAGTCAGGCAGGAGATTAAGTAGCTGGAATGGAATATGGAATAGTGTGTTCCATGATCTTTGATACTATATTTTGTTTTTTCTGTTTGTTTGTTTGTTTGTTTGTTTATTAAAAAGTAACTTGGTTATTTTTACCGCAGAATGTGTACGTGTAGTTTTGATTCTATTTGGGTAACACAGTAAGTCCTGCTAGGTTCTCTCTCATGTTCAAGCCTGAGAGAGCATATTAGAAGGGTTTGGGGGAATTTTATTACTGTTGTGTGTAAAATAGATGGCATTCAGTTTTTGCAAAGATAGGTAATGTTAGGTAATTTTGTCAGGGACCAGCGATAGCCCAAACCCTTGTTTGCTTTAAAGAGTAATCATTTTGTTTACTGCTCCCCCTCCCCCTAAAGATGATTGAGTTCACAGTTTGCACTGTCTTATTTTTTATAATGTTCAGATTGATAAAAGTCCAGAAGGTCAATTCACACAATTAATGGCTTTGCCCAGAACGCTGCAACAAAAGATAACTGCTCTTGTAGACCCTCCTGGCAAGAACCGAGACGTGGAAGAGATTTTACTGCAAGTTGCCCATGACCCTGACTGTGGATTAGTGGTACGCCAGGGTATGTTTATAGATTAACATGTAGATTCTTTTTCAAGACATGGTCTATTTAAGAATAAATGTTGTTATAGTATGTGTAGGCTTGGCAGAATTTGATTTTTTTTAAATTTTTTTTTAATAATTTATGTTCATTTTTAAGCATTTATTTCAATCTTTTATTTTAAATTAACAACATAAAGATCTTCCACCCCTGCAATGGCAAAGAAAACAACAAAAAGACCATGAAAAAACCAGAACTTAAGTAGCTTGTTATCTTTCTCCAGCCTACTTCCAGCACCCATGAACAAACAGCTAACTGTTTATTGATGAGTCATTAAGCCACAGGCTGTTTTCTTTTTTTAAAGAGATTGGATCGCTATACTCCAGCCTGTGACTCCCTTCTGTTCCCCCCTTTTTTGGTTATTAACAATGGAAATATTTTCCATTGTCTGCGCACGTGAGTTGAAAATCAGCTTTTACTGATAAAAAAGCTGATCAGCTGATCAGCTTTTACTGATTGAATCCTTCCATGGCTAAGTATGTGCCACTTAAGTTCTGATAGACTATAGCCTAACAACTTGAAGGGAAGAAAAAGACTTGATCTTTAGATGTTTTGGATATAATTGGATATAGAGACAGGTTCTATGAAACCTTATTAACTGGTATCTATTTATTTGAATTAAAACGTATAAAGCCCCTCTTTCAAAATCTAAAATAAAATTGAGTTAGTTTAATTAGAACATCTATCTTTATTTCTGGTTCCTTGAAATTCGTAGGACTGCCTAGCCTGGCAGAACAGACCTAGGGCTTCAACTAAATATTGTATCACATCAGTGCTATGCAGAGGTGCTTTGTACTGCAGAATTAATTTGGAGTTGGAGGAGAAATTCCAGTAAGTGGCAGAATTCTCACTATACAATTTAATAAATATGCATGTGGGGTGCCTTGCGGAGATCAGGCTTGGGGCAAAAAGAATGAACATTTCGCTTTCACAAGTTGTTCCTGCAGATCAAGGTTTAGTTGCATTTGCAAGTTAATGGATAAGAACATAAGAAGTGCCATATTGTGTGAAACTACAGGTCTATCTGGCCCAATATCATGTATCTCTGTGGCATAGGGCAGTTGCTAAGGGGGAGAATATTTTAGCATGGTGTATCCAGACTGATCTGTTCCCTGCTCCTCTCCTCCTATAGCTTCCAGCCTTTAGAAGCTTAGGAAGTCCTAACTTTGAGATTGTACCTTTTAACTATGATGTGTATACTCTGCTACTGTCGGTGAGTGTGGGTGGGCGGGGGGAACAAACGGGGAGCTAGGGAAACTAACGGAGGTAGGGGTGGGGGGGAGAATGAGCCTCCTGCTCATTCTCCTATTCTCTCCAGCTTCCTGCTTGTTTTCCTGCTCCTCCAGCCTCCAGAGGCTGGAGAGGAGCAGGGGGATGGAAACCAGCAAGGGGCTGGGGGGGAACTGTAGCCCCTGGGGCTACAGCCCCCATGTGCTATGTGGGGAGGCTCATGGCAACCATTGGTGACATGTAGGGGGTGCACCCCCTCAGAAAAAGTGCCGCCAACACTGTCAGGCACCATTGGTGTCTGTGGGCAGTCAGTGATTGCCACTGGCCACCATTGACAATGCTGGCAGCATCTGCGGGTGGTCACCGACCCCTGGGGCACAGATAATTCATGCAGGGGACCCACCCGTCCTAAGCAGCTCCCACACCCACAGTCCCCCCACACCTACCCACATACTGACTCGCATCCCTCCACACACCTACCCACATCCCCCCCATCACACACCCACCATGTGATAAAGAAACCAAAAGCAAGCATTAAAACATATAGATATTTAAAATTTATTTTATTATGATGCTAGAGACACTGGTAGGCTTCCAAAAATCTAACATTGTAAATATAGCAATAAAACATTGCCCATTTGAATAGTCCTCTCTCTCTCTTGTTCTAATTGTGGAAGAATGTGGATTTGGGGGTATTTTAAAAAGTGAATTTGGGATGCTGCTTCAGCAGTCTAGCTGACACAAGGGTCTAGCGTCCCCAGGTACCAAGCTGCTGGGCCTCAGAAGCTCCTGAGGGCAAGTAGCCCTGAGCTGCTGGCCAGGGCAGGTTTTTATACTGTTGGGGCCAGCATAGGTGCTGACCCTGGGCTCTAGCTCCCCCTGGCTGCAAATCCGAGAGGAGCTAGGCACGGTTATTTTGCCCCAAGTGGCACAATTTGCTCCACAACAAAGTGCATGTGTGATGAGGCAAAAAGCCCCAGCTCAAATTTGCACTTCTGTTTGAGCTGCTGCAAGTGCATGCGCTTGAATGTGTGGACATGCCCATTGTTAGTCACTCTAAAATATGTAGTAGTAGATGGATCCTCACAAAAAGCTTGTAAATTAAGTGATGAGATTTGAATGCAGGGCAACAAGAGAACATGGCCACAGTTATCTAACAAAGAAAATGCAAAAATATAGATAGTGCAGTTAATAAGCCCAGTAATTAATGCATAATAGCAAAGCCTTGAGTGATAGAAAAATATAATTGGTAATCACCACTGAATGGTCAATTGGGTTCAGACATAAGGGGGAAATATTAAATTAATTAATTGGATTGAGCTCTAACTGCTACCAACTTGGCATTGCTTACATTGAAAAGCAATGTTTATGTCACGTATACAATTTTAAAAAATATAAATAAAAATGCAGAATAAGTTTGAGTCTACATGTCAAAGCAAAATAAAAATAGGCATGTTTTATTAGGATAATGGTAAGTTTTACTTCAAGTCTGACTTCATTGTTAAACAGAAAAATGTAGCATATGTGTGTTTGCGTGCCTGCATTTTGTTAGTTACAGATTGAAATGGATAACATCTGTGTTTTTATATCTTTTATCTCTTATGTAGGCATTTCAGGAATTGTGAGGTCTTCCAGTTTAGTGCAGAGTGCTAAAACCATTCTAACAGCTGGTAAGAACATGTGCTATTTTATACAAGTAAGCCTTTGGTTTCAGAGAATATGACTCTGACTTAAGCTTGTTGTCACAGAACTTCAAAGTATAGACTCTTTTTCTGGTCTTGTGAAAGTGTTGGAAGCGGCTGGAAGCTTTGACTAGTTATCGCTTCTATGATTTCTGAAACTCCTGCAAAATCATAAGAAAGACAAAAGCAGGTGGCTACCTGATTTTATTTATGTATTTAGTCAGAATACTGCTTGCTGTTTGTCACATTGGCTGATTTAGACTCATGTTCTGCTCTCTTTGTTCACAGAACGCCCATAGGAATATGATTTCTTTAGAATTCCGTTGGGAGTTGTACAGGTGGAGAAAGAGTAGAATGAGTAAAGAGATCTGTTTTGTGGACCAGAGAGGAGAATTTCTTCTGTAAAAATGAGTAAGCATCTACTGATCAAAATGTAGGCTACGTGCAAATGAATCTTTGACAAGTCAGATATTTTTTTAAGCTGGTCAAATGTAAATTGAAGACAAGAACTCATCATTTCAAGTGGACTTGTAGGTGGTGAACTTCAGTGCTTTTACATAAAAGGAACCAGTTTATCAAAAGAACTAAGAGCCTTAGAAAGACACGTAAGAGAGAACCTAGTTTCGTTTGATCAAATTAAAAGCTAGGATTTGGCAAGGAGAAGGGGAGAGGCTGCCTGACTGAGGATGAAGAAAGGGGAGAAATAATGGGCTGGCTATGGAAAAGTCTGTGAATTCCCCTACCAGAATCTCTTGTTGAACCTGCATCACAGCTGAAGCCCCACATCTCTTCAGTTTTTTTTAAAAGCTGATTACCTCACAGTTCAGTTCAAGTAAAAGACTGGAGTCTGAGCTGGTACTGAGCCATACGAGTAATAGGGTGAGCTGGGCCTTCATTAGGTGAAGGCAAATTCATTGCTAGGTATTTTGGAGATTATGCAGCTGGTAAGCATGTTTTTTAAGAGGAAGTTTTAAAACAAAGTAATGGGTGACTCCTACATGTCCTCTCTCTCAAATGCAGCTCGGAAGAAGTCATGGTGCAGGCCTCAAGAAATTTCTTACACATGCACCTAATTTAAAGACCCTTTATCCAGACCACACAAGGATGAGATGATATTCCAGAGCTGCTCATCATCTTCAATTCACACTTTATACTCAAGTTTATGCCTATTGCCTTTTAGAAAGTAATGTTTTAATAGTGTTTGGGGCCCCTAGTAGTTTGACTAAAATAACTATGGAAGTAGAAACAGTTGTGTCCTGAATGCTGATCTGGTTCTTTTAAAATCAGTTTTATAGTTGAGTTGCATTATATGAAAGGAAGGTAGTGAGCCTATTGCCCATCCTTCCTTGTTAATTTGAAGAAATTGAAGAAACAAAGCAACTCAGAATTAGAGGAGGAAGGCAGAGGGTTTTTTTTTAATCTTGTATAATGAACTGGACATATTAATTGCCGGCCTTCATTGGATTCAGTTCCTTCAAATTTTTTCCCAATAATATTCTAGTGGTCTCACTTTTTCACGTGCATGCAGTTGACCAGTAAAATATTACGTGTGTCACTAGGAGAGTAGTTTTCAAGTTCCTAAAGTCTTGGAACTTTTTCATATAATTTCTTCTGCCGTGGAACCCCCTACCTCTGGTTCCCCGGGCTGTGAGAGCTGATGTAGAGCCAAGCAACCTGGTCCAGCAATAGCAAAACACTGTCTCCTGACCTGCTCCACCATAACTCCCAGTCTCTTTGTGGAGCCCTTGATCACCTGTTGTGGAACCCCAGGGTTCTGTGGAACACAGTTTGAAAATCACTGACCTAGGGCATTATACTGTTAGAAGCGCAAGGTTAAGTATATTGTTATAGGTAAAATAAAAATGGCACTTAAAACAGGGGTGATCAGCCCTCAGCCTGTGGACCAGACCTGGTCCCTAGTGCTGTGTCATCCAGCCTATAGGGCTCCAGAAATTTGGTGGTTGGGGAACACAGGCACCACTCTGCTGCCAAATTTCCAGACCATGGGAAGTCCCAGGCCCTGTGCACTGGATTGGGTGCTTGATCCCAACACACAGTGCTATTTGGGGGCAGTGCCAGGCCCCTGGTTCCACTCACAGTTTGGAGGGGGCCAGAAGAGGGCAGCGCACAGGAGCAGGTGGCGCCAGGCCCCCAGGGTCCAATCCCAGCACATGGCACCAAGAGAAGATGGCCCTGGGGCCCAATCCAGGCAGGCAGCACCAGGACCCAGTCCTGGTACACAAGGATCCATCCATACTGTAGGGCCCCATGCCATTCATGTGTAGGGCTCTGAGAAAATAGCAGATTTCTTGTTTACAACTTGGCGGCACGTGAGCAGGTATGGTATCACTTTTTTCATGGAATATTCATAGAACTACCACTGATCTTGGCAAATGCGTCCTGGTAGTTCCATGAATATTCCGTGAAAAATGATACTTTACCCATGCACATGCAGCAGGCAGACACACAGTCATAGACAGTGGAAGGCTGGGACCAATGGGGCTTAACTCCCCCCCCCACCAAATGCGGGGTAGAGCAGAGGTCCACAGGGCAGCCTGGGCACGGGCTCTGGGCAGCTGCAACAGGGAGGTGGAAGGGATGGCACACAGACAGACACAGAGCCTGCAGGCAGCCAGGATTGCGGCCAGATGGCATGCAGAGCAATGCCCACCACAGCAGGTAAATCGGGGAAGGGGCGTGGAGCGGGGCAGATTGAGGCCCCCACAGCGAGGTAGGGAGTGGGGCAGAAGTTGGGGTGAATGGGACCCAGGCCAGGTCGTGGGATGCTCGGAGCTCAGGTGGCTTGTCGGGGGGGGCACTGCCACTGCGCACACTTCAGGAGAGGCCCAGGAGGGGCATGTCCCCCGATTTGCACACGGGGCAGAGGCAGGCTGCCGCTGGCGGGCGGGGGGGGGCGGGCCGGCGC